TCCCCAACCCCGGACCCGTACCCCACTCTTGGCCGACATCCGTCAAAAAAACCCGAAGGTGATAGCAACGGTCCCAAGGCTTCGTTTAAAAAAGGGTCGGCAGCTTGGTGAGGAGCAAGTATCCAAGTTTGTGGGAAAGAGTGCCGTCACCGACTCGCTGAGACTAGTGCAAACCTGGTGTCGTGACAAAGCGCCGCATCCCGGGGGTGAAGGTCATTTGAATGCTGGGTGTAGCCGCTTGTAATTGTATTTGGTGGACTTTTGACAAGCTGGACTCTCAAACTGACTCTCTTTTACCTGTATGCCCCGATACCTTTACGGTCTCCCATGTCGCATTGCGGCGTTGGTGGCCGATCCCCGAAAGCAGCGCCCTTGGCCTTCCCGGTTTGACCTGCCCAAGTCAGAAATACCATTGCGCAAATTCTGGGAAGGGGGAATTCTGGTGTTAGATCCCGAGATAAAACTGAACTGTGACGAGTTTTTTGACAATCGGTTCGATGTCGAGGGTTGACTGGTCTCGGTGAAGGCCTGTCGTTGCAAAGGATTATCTAATCCTCAAACTTACACAGGGATTGAAAGGTGGAGTCTCGGCGTGGACCCACTCGCCCCACAAACAGGAGCAGCAGACGGGACCCACACTCGCCCCACTGCTTCCCAGAATCCTGGACAAAAAGTGGCCGATTTTAGGGGAGTGGGGCATTTGAATTTTGATCTATTCTAACTGGCTGGGCCGGTGTCTGCTTATAGTTATAAGCCAAGCAAAAACGGCCAAAACACAGGCCTAAGCACGGAGGCAACCGGACGCCGAATGTTAACCAAACCTCAACCAGAAGGAACGAGATGAAAGCATGCGAGGTTACTCCACTTATAGTTTTTTTTGCCTCGCTAGCTGATCTCTCTCCTTCAAGTGCTGGCTTCTGCTGTCATTCCCTTGTCCCGTTTCTTGACTCAAGAGTCAAGGACATGCTGTACCTACCTATACAGGTATGCAGAGTCGCTAACAATGATACGCAACCTCGGTAGGTACGTAGGTATCAAGTTATTTTTGGCCTCTCGGACTACAACAGCTCAATACCTACTTGCTCGGATTTGATCAAGATGGCAATAACGGAGATCGATTTCTCCGCGTCAACCATCATCCCCATCTTGACCCGACTCCTGTGCTACTACTCCAAACTCAGAGTCCAAAGTCCTCCAGTCCACTGCTCTTCCAAAATTCACCATTTCCATCAAGCTCCGTCCACAGTAACAACCTCCCTCCAGCTGTTTAGATCCACCCCGTGCATCGCCGCCGGAAAATGTCACGGCACCAAGCCTGACCTGCTTGGGTCACGTGGGCAGCACGTGCCCACGCGACCTGGACCCACACTAGCAGCAGGATCCAACCAAGGCAAGAGGTAAATGGTGCAGCGAGAAAGAGGGAAGAAGTAGGGGGCTTGTACGAGTTCAAGGCAAACCGATTTGATCCGGATGTAGTTAGCGTGCTAAGGCCCTATAGGCCCAGTGCCTCCGGGCGAAATAAATTCCATCCATCCATCCAGCAGCAGGATCGGAAACTCGAGAAGGCGGAAAGCAACAACAAGGAGAAACTGAATGTCAAAATACCTTCTGCTTGTTCTGATAGTTAAGGCGCATCGATCAAATCCGAGAAAGGCACCCCGCGGGGGGCTGCCCGCATCCCTGAAGTCCCCAAGATGGCGTCGAACGCGAACATTGAAGACACCCATGACGCGCTGAACTCGCCGCAACCGCGACGCCGACCACTGCGCTCCCCTAAACCGTCCGCCAAAGTCCGCGAAACGTTGATTCCCCTCGAAAACAAGGCAAAACCGACCAAGAATACGTC